CAGCTTCTCTGGGCAACCTGGGCCAGGGCCTCACCACCCTCATGGGGAAGAATTTCTTCCTAATATCTAATCTAAATCTGCCCTCTTTTAGTTTAGAGCTGTTCCCCCTTGTCCTATCACTGCACACCCTTGTAAAAAGCCCCTCTCCATCCTTCCTCTCGACCCCTCCAGGTACTGGCAGCGGCTCTAAGGTCACCCTGGAGCCTTCTCTCCTCCAGGCTGAACAGCCCCAGCTCCCTCAGCCTGTCCTCGTAGGAGAGGTGTTCCAGCCCTCGGATCATCTTCGTGGCCCTCCTCTGGCCCCGCTCCAACACATCCATGTCCTTCTTGGAATAACCAAGCTTTTTGAAAGCAGGGAAAGGGAAGGAGTCACGAGATGAAGTGTTAGCTGAAGGTGAGGGCTAATTCCGTAGGAGGTGATCGGGCAGTTCCTTGGGTGAGATAGCTTGCCTCTGCCAAATAAAAAGAAGAGAAAAAGGCTTATTTCTCCTAAAATTTCCCATATTCCTCTCTGTTAATCTGTCTGTTCTCCGACTCCATCAATTACTTTATGTATATGGTATGGTTTTCAGTGGGAAAACCAAGCTTCATTAACCCCGGGGAAGTTTGCGTGATGCATCCTCTGTGGGTGCAGCTGCAACTGCAAAATCTGTCGTGAAATTGTTTTGCGTTGTCGTGGCTGAAGCCTAAGCTGTGGCCAATCTCGTGGGCGAGTGTCATCACGTCGCTGGCGGTGTCGTGGCCAGGGAACTGCAAGTGGGAAAAGAACCCAAGGTTTTTCCAAGCAGGTGTTGGCGTGGAGAACTTCAGATTTCCAGTGTTTTGGTCAGTAATTGTGACATTTGTGCTGACTGGGGACTTACACTGGTAAATAAACAATTAGGGAAGCCAAAGGACCCCTAATGAGAGTTGGTCTGGGGAAGAACAGGAGAAATGTTTTTTCACCATCTCAACTTCTTTAAGAAACAGCAGAAACGAGACCAACATCACCTCCTTTGGATGCCCAGTTTAGGTGTTACCTGCTGATCAGTAAAAGCCTGAGCCCAGGAGTTGTGTAGAATTAACTCCCGAGGCTCGCTGTGAATATGAAAGGTTTATTTTTCCTCTCAGGCAGTGCAAACCTGCGAGGTCTCCGCTTACTGAGACGACACCCATGGAGTTCCTCTGGCACATTGTCCCCTTCCAGGCAAATCCCCGTTCCTTGTAGCGCTCGCCACTGCAGCGGGAAAGTTTGAACATTAAAGAAACGCAGAACAACTTGTTCTCAGTTATGGGATGCGTCGCCTGAATTACAGCTGGAAGATGGTGGTTTGGGTAACAAGGAACTCCTTCTTTGAAGAAAAGCTCGGCATCACCCGTTTCTTCTATGGGAGCCTCATGTGCAGCCAGGCCGGTGCCCACAGATCAGCTGTCAAAGCACCAGGTAAAGAATCACAGAATCACAGAATCACAGAATAGTAGGGGTTGGAAGGGACCTCTGTGGGTCATCTAGTCCAACCCCCCTGCCGAAGCAGGGGCACCTACAGTAGGCTGCACAGGATCTTGTCCAGGCGGGTCTTGAATATCTCCAGAGAAGGAGACTCCACAACCTCCCTGGGCAGCCTGTTCCAGTGCTCCGTCACCCTCAGAGGGAAGAAGTTCTTCCTCATGTTCAGACGGAACTTCCTGTGCCTCAGTTTGTGCCCATTGCCCCTTGTCCTGTCACTGGGCACCACTGAAAAGAGCTTGGCCCCATCCTCCTGACACCCACCCTTCAGATATTTGTAGGCATTTATAAGGTCCCCTCGCAGCCTTCTCTTCTTCAGGCTGAACAAGCCCAGTTCCCTCAACCTCTCCTCGTAGGGCAGATGCTCCAGTCCCCTCACCATCCTTGTAGCCCTCCGCTGGACTCTCTCCAGTAGCTCCTCATCTTTCTTGAAAAGAAGCAGAGCCACGGTTGATAAACTCATTGGCCTCCTCCCTACTTTAAAGGGAAGAGTGGCCTATAGGCTATTTCAATAAAATACAATTATTCAAAATTAGTTTTAAAAGATTTGGCAATATAATGTGTTGAATTTGAAAAACGAAATGCTCAATAAATTTTGAGATGTATCTTTTCCTATGCAGAAGGTTTCTTTCCCCTAAAATAAAGGAAAAAGTAACAGATAAAACAGAAACAAGGTTCTAGGTCTTAAAAAGCAAATGAGTGAAATAAGTGATTCAACATCTTGCAGTCTGAGATGTAACTCCCTTGTCCCAGCAAAAAGGTTTAATTGAAATATTGAGTTGTAAACCGTATAATGATGAATTATTATATCTGAAAAATGAGTGGCTTGTGTACATAAAAATGAGTAAAAATGGAAAATGAGATTAAAATAATTCAGTTACAAAGTGTCAAAATTGGAACTAAGCTGGACAGTCTGTGTGTGTGCATGCGTGGAAGAATATAAAAGAGGGCAGTGAAGGGGAAAAGCAAATTCTTGTATCAATTTACGTGACAAGCATGTGCTGATTAGTACATGGACTGATTAAGCTGTTACATGAGACATCCCCAGGACAAAAGGCTTATTAGCATATATGTGTAAAGATTAGAAGAAGAAAGAGATGAAAATATTCTTGCTCCCTGCTTATCTCCCCACAGCCGGCGCGTGAGCTGAGTGATTAAAACTCACGACTCTTACACCAGTAACTGGATATGGTCATAATTAATGCGACCGACAGCACCCAGGGTCCCGGCCAGGCTGTGGGGTGGCATCACCTGGTCCGTCCTGGTCCACATCTCCACCGTGGAGCAAGGAGAGGATGAAGAGGAAGGGAGGTTGTAATGAGCTACCAGAAGGCATTTAGTAACAGTGGTGCGTATTCCCCGTCAACCGTTTTACAGGGATGATTTCAAAATTATTTTTAAACTGGCTTCGCTCGTATTTGAAGCAATTTTTTAAGAGTTGAGGTGGGTTTTATGGAGTTGGGGAACACGTTGGTTCCTGGTAGAGTAGCACAGATCATTCATTTCTTTCCCAGGGTAGCGGGTTAGACAGCCAGCCAGCAGAGCAGAACGGCCGTTGTAATTACCTCGTCGTTAAAACTCACCATGTTCAGGAGGTTGCTTATGGAAATGAACAGATGGAGCATCAGGGTTTCGTTGTAGTTGCTAGCTTTAAACTGAAAAGGGAGAAGAGCTGTGTTACAACGCCCAACGCCAAGGACTACGTCCAGTATAACGCAGCACCGTAGCACGGCGATAATTTCTGATGCTTACCAGCTCTTTGACTGTGACCAGAGCCAGCTCCAAGTATCTGGTGGGCACGGGCAGGCTCTGGAGACCAGGGACCTCCTGGAAGCGAACAAATAACACTGCGGTTATTGAGGTACGTTCAGGAGCTTAAGAGCTTACGCTGCATTGCAAAACCCAAGGTGGTGTTCCTCAAGCTAATCCAGCATTTCCCTTCAGTACAAGAACACAGAGCAATTATGCATTAGAGCAGGATTAATGAGCGTAATGAGTAATCAGGGTGAGAGGAGAGAGACTGAGACAGAACACAGTTGTAGGTGGGTTTTTCTTGTAGCAGGGGGCTTGCCTGGCATTGCTCACATTAAATCAGCTCACTACGAGCTGCAGACTTTTGCACGTGCTCAGACCATTTTTTTAATCGTTAAATTTGGCACCACAAGAACTGCGTCAAAGAGAGAGTTGAGTGGGGACGTCACGAGCTGCCTGCATCAAGCAGCTCAGTGCTAGAAACCAGGAGGGTGAACAGATAACTGCAGGTAAAAACTGGTCCTGAGGTGAAATTGTTCAAGCCACGTGAAAACCACAAAAACAACTCTAACTTCGTTTTTCTTCATTTTGCCCAGCACACCTGCGTAACACAGAATCACAGGACCACAGAATGTTCGGGGTTGGAAGGGCCCTCTGTGGGTCACCCAGTCCAA